AGTGTTTATAAACTTGAAAAAGTTTAACATTGTGAATCTAGAATTGGCTCAAAATATTCAATATAATTAAAAGCTCATTAGATAGCTTTATTGTTTAAGAAATAAACTAGTAAAGAAATTTATACAAGAAAGAGGAAGTGAAGTGATCTTGTCAGTATCTTGGTTCTAGAAAATTTGTACATTTATAGGTTTTTGAATATATATTCTAATGTCAGTTCTGAAATTCTAGACCATTTTCCTCATCCTTTCACTTTCATATAGCAAGTTATTACTTCTACCTAACACATACAGCAGAAAGATATATTCTATTTAAGAAAATTTCTCAGGTTCATATGATTAATAATGAAACTTACATTAAATTTTAGGTGTTTAGCTTTTTGGAGCCTGGGTTTTGTTTAGGTGAAACTAGTAAAAATTATTTTAGAAAGCTCAAAGTGCTTGGTAAAGTGACTCTATTAAAGATATCAAGCAACTAAAATATTTACATTATCATACATATATCTGTGTATGTTATATACATATACACAAATACGTATATACATATGCATTGGTGGGTTAGGGTTTTGAAACTCAGAGCTTTGTGCTTAAGCCATACCTCTAGTCCATTTTGCTCTGGTTATTTTGAGCTCTGGCGACCTATTTGTTTGGGTTGGCCTTGAACAGCAATCCTCCCTTATCTCAACCTTCCAAGGAGCTAGGATTACAGACATGAGCCACTGGCACCCAGCACAAAATATTTTAATATTATCTTATATGTATTCTTATAACACTTGACATATTACATAATATCTTTTTCTTCCTACGATAATACAAAGATGTAAAGCAAAAATTATTATCTACCAGAAACCTGGCCTCATATAGACTCAAGGTAGGGTTTTTGATTCAGTAGTTTTAGATTTATTCCATGCAAATATTTGGTGATGAAGGTTTTATATTTATAATATTTTCACAGTGCTAGGCATCAAACCTGGGGCCTGGTCCATGATAGGCAATCGCTTTATCACTGAGCCATACCCACTACAATATAATTTGTCATGTAATTCAGTTTGACTACTTTTCACAAAATATTTGGGTCTGAAGTGAATCAGATTCCTTTTCTCATTAATTCACTGAAAGTTGTAAGTTCTATGTCTTTCAGAGGATCTTTGTTATAGGTAATAAATTGAATACAAGGCAGGTAATATGTTTTATTCATACATATTATAGCAGGAACTCAGGGCTTTAAAAAGTGCATTGCAAATATAAATATCTAAATTTATGTACACATACATACTTTAATATTACTATATAGAGAAAATATAAAATTATACATATATGATAAACATGTATACTAGCAAATCATGGATTTAAAAAATGGTTGATAAACCATGAGTTCTATGGTGAAAAATATCATTTGGTGTTTCATTGCTTTCTTCTGGCCCCTGAATAAGGCAAGTATGTTAGATATAAAGAGCTTGAGTAAGAAGCAGACAATTTTCAGGGATGTGTGCTCTTGCTGGGGGTATTGCTCAGTGGTAGAGCATTTGCCTAGTATGTGTAAGGAGTAGGATTTGATCCCCAGCAACAAAAAAAGGAAAAAAAAGAAGAAGAAAACAGAAAGAAAAATAGAAGGAAGAACAAGAACATGAAGCAGAAGAAATACCGTTCTCCTGATGAGTCATGATACAATCATAGCTAGGCCTGCCTCATTTTTTTCATTTTTTATAATCAATAAAAACCACACTCAAAAATATTTGCATGAGTATGTATGTCTATGAAATTACAGTGAACAAAAAATGGTAGCAAATAACTAAAATCATTTAAGTATTTACTTGAGTGTAGAAGGGGTGATAGTTTAAGAAGGTTTAATGTCATGAAAACTTAGAGTTTTCCTACATCTTACATATTTTATAATTGTCTGCTCCTCAGAAAACATATAAGGAAGGTAAAGTGGTTTTAAAATCCTTGACATTTGGGATTCTCTTGTGTAATAAATGTATTCAATGAAATTTAAGCTTTGATATCCTAACCATTTCCTTTACCATATCAAATGTGCAAAATTTCTTTCAAATTTATTTTTAATGGTAGGTTTGTATGCAGTTGTAGAAACAATACCTAGAGATCACACACATTACTTCCCCCAAGTAATAGCTTGCAAAGCTATTACACAATAGCTAAACTAAGAAACTGATGCTGATACGGTCACGAATCTTACCTGACTTTCACCAGGTTTGCATAGTTATTTATGTGTTTCTGCAAGTGCATGTGTGTGTCTCTTGTTTCACGTGCAGTTTCATGTGTTCATCGCCACAAACCAGATACCATACAGCTCTGGAACCACAAGGATCCTGTCTGCTATTCTTTTAGAAACATGCTCCCTCCTATCTTTAAAACCTTTGGCAACCACTCATTATTTAAATGTTCTTCATTTCTGTAATGTTGTTATTTGCAGACATTAAATTCCATCTGACTTATTTCTAGTTTTTATATGTGTTTCTCTGTACACTTTTCAAAGTGGTTCCTCTGAATGTTTCAATATACATACGTGACTTACTACAGTATTGTAGTAGCAAGGTTTACCACTTTAAGTACAGAATCATTACTTTTATTTCTTACCCCTTTTTTACCTGTCTTGAGTTTTCCTTCTCTACTTTGAATTCTGTATTAGTTGGTGTTATACTTTTTCTTTCAATCATCAAATAATATAGACAGCTCAGGAGGAAAAGCATAGTGTATTGTATTTATCCTTATTTTTATTCCTCTGTTGTTTCTTCTTCATAATGCTCTGAGTCCTTCATTTTATCAGTTCTCATTGAAGAACTTTATGTTTTATTTAAGACAGATTTAAGGACAAATTTATCTCTTCCATATTCCTGAAGGATGGTGTTCCTGGATAAGAATTTGTGGTAATTCTTTTCTTTTAGGACTACAAAGATTTGTCACTTTGGCCTCCATGATTTCAATTGGGAAATTTATTATTATTTGTATTTTTGTTCTCATTGGTAATATACCACTCTCTCTGCTGCTTTCAAGTTTTTTGTCATTAATTTTTTAGAAATTTCATTTTAATGTATGTTGACATGGACTTTGGATTTTGCTTATTTCAGATATTCTCAATTTCTTGATACTTTGCATTTATTTAATGAGTATTCTTTTAATATTATTTTAGCCTCATTTTTTTCTTCTCTTTTCTGGAAATCTAATGGTACCAATGACATATATCTCACAGATCCCTAAAACTTTATTGTTTTCTGTCCTTTTTATCTTTCACTTATCTTCTCTCAGTTTTCAGATTGAGTGAAATCTGTGGGTCTGACTTTGAATTTACTTATTCCGTCTTCTATACTGCACGATTGAGCCAATCCAGAAAGGTTTCATTTTGGTTACTGAGATTTCCTTTCTATAAATTTTGATTTTTTGATAACTTATTTTTCTTGCTGAACTTTTCTTTCTATTTTTTCTACTTGCTACAAGAAAATGAACAAATACTTCTTAAAGAACTTTAATGTGTCTGTTTAAAAATCTTTGTCAAGTAATGCCAATATCTGATTCATTGATGCTTGCCTCTACTGATTATTTTTTTTTCTCAATGAAATTATGATTTTCCTCATATTTAGGATGACCAGTGACTTTTTGATTATATCTTGGACATTTCGGCTACTGTGTTAGGAAACTCTGAGTGCTGTTTAAATATTCTTTTCTGTGGAACATTCATCCTGTTAAGGATTAACACACAAGTTCTAGCTTATTTTTATAGACTGTGACTCTCAAAACAATTTAATTTTTAGATTCTTTGTGGTGCTAGTTGGAGAGACTTACTTGTCTGATTGCACTTGGAATCACACTACTCTCTACTAATATCAAAAGAGTTCTCCAAGAAAGACTGCCTGGTGATCTAGGTGGGGCAAGGAGTTCTTTAGACATTGGAAGAAGCCGTTCTAGAGCTGAGTTCTTATTGTGGAAGAAAATCCCAATAACCTATCATCTAATTCTCGTTGTCTTTAGATGAGGAAAGGGAGTTTCAGGCTGGGGAAAGGGATTGCTTTCTGGGGTTGCTTGTTTGTGAGACTCTTCCTTGGTTGCCCTTGCAGGAGACTCATTATAGTCCAATATTTCTGGAATTATATCCATCTTATCAGCAATAAAAATCAATTTACTTAGTCTACCTTCTGTTGCTAGGTTGTGGTTGAGAGACAATGGTTCTGGGTCATCTTTTGTTGTTGGTTAGGTGGTCAATGCATTGTTCTTCCAGTCCTGGTGTCCCTAAGAAGTACTCTGTCCTTCAGAGTACTCTCAGTTGTCTCATGCTTTATTCCAGGTTTTATAGCTATACTTAATAAAATCCACAAGAATAAATTTAAATTTTCCCCCGAATGGGTGAAGCATCATAATTATACAAGATTGCAAGAGATACCCTGTGGAAGCAAGTGTTCTGTGATAGATAAGCAATTTGAACCAAAGCATATATTAATTAAAATAGGGTACACCAACCACTCAGAGCAAATTTAAGCATCTGTAAACTTACAGGTGCTTATCAGCTAAATGTCAGCTCAGATTTAAATAAAGACCAATAAATGTCTCTACTGCAGGGAGTTTTTAAGATGTCAGTATTCTTTTTTGGTATCTTGCAAAGCCTACAGCAGTCATAGTTCCCCAAATCTGTCTATAGAACAGAAACTACTTTGTTCATAGTTTTTCTTAACAGTGGTATTCCATGAAAGACTTTGTGAAGGAGAACCATTTTCATCACCATCAATATCTACCTTACCCAATGTGTTGTACTATATTCAGTCATTTAATTAAATAGTACTTCTGAGACCATTAAAACTACCAATTCTGCTTTGGTTTTAAAACTCTGATAAAATATTTCAAAATATTTAAAACTTCTTATAAGCTGCTTTAGGAAGTAAGACTTAAATGCATTGCCAAATAAAATGTTTATCATACTCTTTTAAAGTAGTCTAAAATTTTTGAGTGTTTCTGATGTTGTTATCCACATTTTCAATATTTTCTTCTTTCAGCTTTAAGAGACAATAGGATCGAGCTGGTTCGCGCTTCCTGGCATGAATTGAGTATCAGTGTCAGTGATGTGTCTCTCTCTGATGAAGGACAATACACCTGTTCCTTATTTACAATGCCTGTCAAAACTTCCAAGGCCTATCTCACTGTTCTTGGTAAGTGGAAGGGAAAAACACCTTGTAATAATAAAACCAGAGGTGTGCATACTGCTACAGCAACATGATTCTATTAAAAAATATATTTTGAAAATCACATTAATGGCATAGTTTAATTTCTTCACTGTTATAGTATGACAAAAGGCATTTAAAAATCACTTAGTTGCTTTCTTCTTTTTATAAGGGGAGAAAGGGAGATACAAAGACTTATATGACTGCGAGAAAAGACAGCCATTTTGTGGCTCAGCAACTAACAGACATTAGTTTCTTAATTTCCAGTTAATTTCATATCAGCATCACCTAGAGATTATATGTATTCTAGTCCTTTTATGAAGTGACAGAATAATGAGCATAATGAGTTCAACTTGTGTCTAAGGTGTGCTTCCTCACTTAGTACATAAATCACCTGATGGAGACCTTCCCTAATAACCTGTGGCTTTGAAAAATGACCCCTCTACGTATTTTAATACATTTAAATGGCTGTGACATTTCCATGTGTCTCCTTTTCTTTGAAATTTGTATTTTCTGCATTCCTAAATGAAGTACATAATGTCACTTGTGCATGCAGCTTGTAGCTTCTTTGTGCTTTTATTCTCTAAGTATTGGACCATTTTCCCAAAGGTTAAAGTGACATGAAAAAGCAATACATTCATAGAGATTCAGAGGAAATAAAGTTGCAGCTCAGAGCTCTGCGATTCCACAGACGTCAGTGCCCCAATCAGCTGAAATTGCTGCAGTTCATTGAAACACACCTGTGTACTGAACAAGTTAGAGGAATTTAAAGATTGATTTTTTTTACCCCAGCCTGCCTTCCTTTTTAGCTAGATAAAGGCAAAATGTTGCATTCAAAATGACTAATACAGCTCATTCTTTTGGGTGGGACTATTAAAGTTAATCCAGCCTTTGCGCCTAGGATATGAAATATGCTTCACTGCCAGTTCCACTGGACTATTTTATAAAAATCTTAAGAAGTTTGCTATTATACTTACCTGGCAGGGGAGATACCATGATCACGAAGGTGGTTTTCCCAGGGCGAGGCTTATCCATTGTACTCCAGATGTGCTGACCCCTGCAATTTCCCCAAATGTGGGAAACTCAACTGCATTATTTGTGGTAGTGGGGGACTGCATTCGTGCTCTCCCCTGAATAAAAAATTTAAAAAAGAAAAAAAGAAGTTTGCTATTGAGGACAAAATATCCCTACTAACATGGAGTGTTCAAGATGACAACTGCCTAATATTAATGTATTGTTTGGTAGAGAGCCTACCTTGAGACCCAAAATGACTGCTGAATTTCATTTATTAAATGGTAGTCTGACATAGATTTCATAATCTAATAGAAAGATAAGGACAAAAACAACTAGCTGGTTAACAGAAATAGACTTCTTTTTTTTCTCTTCTCTTGTTTTACTTTGTATATCTCACATTGGAGCTTTCCAACACTTATACATTTTAATATTATCAAAACTGAATTAAATAGTATAAAAAGGAAGACTTCAGGGTGCCTTTATTATTGGATAATTCTATAAGAAATTTTAATTAACCTCTAAGAGGACAACTGAATCATATAATCCAGGAAATGTGTAATATCCTATACTTTAAATCATCCATATACTATTTATATGTATTAGTTATCTGCTTATGGTGAATTGAACTAGAAAAAGTAGTAGTGGTTAACAGGAAAAACAACATATACTGTGCTTCCCCAAACTACAATAACATTTCTCATAAAAATGGCATCAGAAGACATTCTCTAAAAGAATCAGAAATGTCAGTGTTGATGAATTCCTTACTCAAAAATTTATTTTCTTGAACAAAGTACACAGAGGATGATAAAGCCTTTTTAACAACTTAAGAATTCCAAAATTAGAGGAAAAGTGCTGCTTTAGTGAAGTAATATGTTTTGTGGATTCTTTCCCCAATTCAACCTATCTTCTTAAATTCCTGTACTGGTAAATCTTAAGATATATTGAGTGGCTATTTTTAAGATGTACAAAAAATATTGCTTTTGTAGGTAAAATTTTACAATTCATTTTAAAAACTTCTCTAAACTCTAGATTTTTAAAACTTTGTGGATACTGCATATACGTACACACAGATCTGAAGGACTTTTTTTATTGTATAGAATTTTATGTCATCCCTGGAGGCTGATGTTCCCTTTACTCATTTGATTACATTTCAGGTGTTCCTGAGAAGCCTCAAATAAGTGGTTTTTCATCACCAGTTATGGAGGGAGATTTGATGCAGCTGACTTGCAAAACATCTGGTAGTAAACCTGCAGCAGATATAAGATGGTTCAAAAACGACAAAGAAATTAAAGGTAAATAGTGGGAAAAAGTCGCCAAATCAAAGTAAATACACTAAAACTAGTATGACATATTAGAAAAGGAATGTTTAACATATTTTTCAAACTGCATTATTGCTCATTGAGTAAATATAATTTAAACTGGATTTACCCATTTTTTAAGGTAATTTCATAGGCTATAGTGGTAGAATCACTATGTTTCTTTTCCCTCTTATATAATACAATTCTAAAACTAACATGTACCCTATTGGCATGTTGGGGAATAAATGAGTTAATATATGAATAAACATTCAAGATTCTTGCTTGACATTTGGTAATCACTAAGTTTAGATTATAGACAGACAAACTCCATAATTTTTTTTCAACTTAAAGACAATTCTGGAATTATAAAGCTGTCAGAATAAAACCAGTTAAACATCAATAAATCTTATTTATAATTTCCTATAAGGTAACAAATTCCTTGTATCAGTAATAAAGCATAATAATTTAAACTCCTCTCTCTTTCTCTTCTTTCTCTCTCTCTCTCTCTCTCTCACACACACACACACACACACACACACACACACACACACAACACACATACACACACAGTAACACAAACATGCAAATATATACACACAAATAGTTTTTCAGGGAAGAAATAAGTTTAAATGGGCAATAACCTGTATGTAGTATGATTAGAATTTTTTTATCTATCTTGGGCCTGATGTCACATATACGTTAATGTCAAGTATTATAACTGTTTATTCTGATTGTTAAAATAAGTTGCCTATGGCATGATATTATTTTTCTCATAATTTTTATGAGATGGGTTTATATGAACCATTCTAATTATATTAACTTGCAATTCTAATGGCTTATATCAGACTATCTTATTCTTAGTAACAGCCATGCAGACCTAGCAGAAAGAATTGTACATATTACTGAGAAATTATAAGATTATAATACTATAACTATTTTATCTATTTTCTATTTTAGTCATTCTGTATTTTTTCATGAAATTGAACCCCTATCTTTACTTTGAACCTGGTCACTACCTTTACCTTAGAACTGATAAATATATTTTATTGGACAAGTTTTGAGAAATATAAGACTCATGACACAAATTGGACATCTTACTATACTAAGTTAAATGTACAGGTTACTATGCAACATGATTCTTATAGTCTAGCAGCACTGAATTACAACCAGTGTAATTCTGCTGCTAGGATATATTTTTCTAGGTATCTGAATTTGGTAAGGTCTTTCCTATATGGACCCTACATCCTGTTTCCAGAGTTATCTTATTGTTATGAGAGTCTGTTCTGCTCATTTTTCTGTTTAAGCACTTCAGATGAAATGGCTCAAACTGCAGGATAAGTTTAAGATCTGCTTTTTATAGCTTATAAAAATGCTCCATGCAGCAAATTCTTAAACATTACATTTGTGTTTTCTCATTGAAACATTTGTTTAATCATAGAATATAGTTTTTAAATATGCCACTGCAGTAAGTTGCTTTATTACCTAAGTATATCCCTTTCTTAAATCTTATATCATTACTTAGATCTCAGTTTCTTAGCACTTTGTGTTCCAAAAGTTTTCCACTCTTGTATTCTCATGATATAGATTCTTAACACATTTAGTACTTCGTTAATGTTGATTGATTATTTTTAACATTTTAGCTTCATGAGGAATCAGTGATGAACTCAAATTCTTACAAAAGAACTTAATATTTAACAAATTCTGGCTCTTCTTTGAATGTCAAACAGATTTGATCATATATGGGGGGTGTTGGTTGTTGTTATTAGGTAAAAATGTAGAAAGAATAATATTGTAAATATCATAATTTAGTCATCTGGATCAAGACCAGATCAAACATTCAGATAAAAACATGTACGGAATCAGCGTATGGTTCTATTCTGAATTTAGAATTGCAAAGCCTCTTTTAATGCTCTCCAGTGCATGGCAATTTATGGAGCCTTTATTGTCCCTACATTTTTATTTGTCCATATATTTTTTCTATGTTTATAACTCTTTTGCATGTTTGCATAGTTTGTCTTCCTAACCAGATGGTGAACTTCCTGAGTTGTGTAAACTTCATTTTTATAGGTGTTTATGTAAACAAGGTAAGGGCAGTAGTAGCATAAAGTGAGCATTCGTGATGGAGGTTATCCTCTGGATATACTGAGTGAAATTTCATGCTGCAGTTTCTTTAGCCCCACTTTTTACTGGAGAGTATTCCACACTTATTTTGCACTGTCTTGTCCTTACATGATATCTGATTACCACCTGTTTTTACTATAACATCACTTGACATTTTATAAAAAGAAATAGAAAAACAGAAAGCAAAGAGAAAAGTGAAGGTACTTAAATTTAATCCAGAAAAAAATTGTTAAACTACCTTACAATTTCACAGCATCTTATGGTTCATGAGTCAAGATCAAAATGAAGAAACCAGAAACCTTAATCTTTTTCTCTCTCTCTCTCTCTTTGATCTTTGGGATCACTAGGAAAATTATGGAAAATAATTTCCTGTAAAGAATAATATCTACTAATTCTTATTTTTCTCAACACTACCTACTGTATAAATTTCATTTTCAAGTTTCTGAGTTAACATTCATAGAAAGTAATATTTGATCACATTTGAGGGGATCAGGAGATTAAAGTTCTTAAATTTTAGTAACATCACATGTAGGTCTTGTTGAATGTCAGATTATAGGGCTCTGACCCTAGATTTTCTAGTTGAGCCAGTGCATTTTAGCATCATGTTAAATGTGTGAGTGACACTAATGCTCTTCTTTGAGACCACATTAGTATTGAGAGCATAAGAGGAGATATAGTAACAGATATAGAAATCTTCCCTCTATTTTTGAGCTTAAGTCTTGTTGTCTGCCTCAAACTACTCTTTCAAGAATTGTCTATAAGCCAATATATATAAATTGCTCTTAAGAATAAGGAAGAACTAAATATATTTGAAGCATTTTTATCTTTCTGGTTATTATTGCTTTATTCAACAAACCATGATAATGAATTGTGCCAGTCTTTAAATAGAAAACAATAAAATAAGTAAATAAAACAAAAGTTTTCCTTCAACACATTCACAATTGGGAGATGCACATGTGAATGTTAAGTCTACAAGATATAATTATGTAGACTCATTACAATTTTGCTCCAAAAAGCAGAGATTAATTCTACTTTGTGGGGAAGATGAAAAGCTCAACAGTTCATTAATAAATCAAGGCACTTAATAAACATGAGTTTATTGAATGAAAAAATGGGCCTTAATGTGTGAAATTCGACACATGAGTTGGAGATAAAAGTAATAGGGCATTCTGAAGACAGGGTTTTCATATATCTAAATGGAGTAAAAACAGTGTAATTGAAATAACGCTGAAACTTTATGTGATAAAAGCGTAAGAGGTAAATATGGAGGCAGTGTCCCAGTGGAAGAACTTTTATTTCAGATTAAGGGGGTTTAGAACTTATTCTGTAGGCAGTGGTGAGACTTTTTCTATAAGCTTTAAACAGTAGAAATAAAATGATCATAATATCATCTAACTCCAGGATTTTTCCCCTCCATAAGCTGACTGGGACATGTCTTTTGTGCCTCTGGGCAGCTCTGCATCCAAAACCACAGGTGTTTCACTGCAGCCTTTAATCTTCCGGGAAACAAGGAAGTCTGAAAGTCTACCATTTACTATGAAAAAGATGTGTATTGCCTTTCTAAATCTTTCAGCTCCCTGAGAACTAACAGTTACATTAAAATTTTCATTCCATGTATAAGTTTAGTAATTTTTAGGTGAAGCATTTCTTTAAAAATCTTGAGATTTTCTTTTCCATCTAAGTAGTTTTTATGTTAATGTGTGAGGCAGAATTCTGTGATAACTCTCAATGACCCACAGCATTATATAAACTCTCCCCTTTAGGTGTAGGAGGGAGTCATGAATATGAAGTGGTACAACTGCCTCGATTTTGTTACCTTATATGGCAAAAGGGCGCTTACAAATATAATTATGGGTTTCTTTTTAGTCCATTGAAGGTATATTTTCAAAAGTGGGTCTGACATAATGAAGTAAGGTCTTTAAAAATAAAGTCAGTGAGATATTCTCTTTACCTGGAAAAAAAATAATTAGCTATTTTAAACTACTTATGGGAACTACATGGTAAAGACCTATAGGTGACCTTCAGGAGCTGAAAGCAGTCCCTTTGTGACAAGTAGTGAGAAAATAGAGACCTCATAACTATAGCTTTATGGAAATGATTTGTTAACAAGCAATGAACTTGAAGGGGATGATAAAGTCCAATTGAGACCAGTACCCCCAAGACATCACCTTCATTTAGACCAGTGACACTGAGTAGATAAACAGGCTACTCCCTACCTGGAATCCTAACCAACAGAAAGTATTATATAATAAATATGTTTTTGGTTTAATCCACTCAGCTCATAGTCATTTATTGCAGAGCAATAACAAGAAACTGAGATCTGTAAAGGCAGAATGATTTCACATTGTCACATATCTTACAGAGAATGGGACTAAATATTATGATTCTAAGACACAGAAATTTAATTTGGAGAGAGGTATGAAGGCTGGGAGAATAGGTAAGATGAATTTCAAGGCCATGAAGTAGTAGATAACAATGGAATTATTTTACAAAGTGATGTAGTTGAAAGCGAATATAGTTCGGATGAACTATGTGAATGATCCTTAGAAGTGGACCAAACTAGGGTCACAGCTTATGCAATTCAGTTGCCTAAATCTCTTGTACAATGAATGTTTTTAAAATGCTTCTGTGTTACCTCAAGACTGAAGGCAACACTGTAAGATACACAAGGCCACCTATATACAGAGAGAATTTCACCATGTGAGTATAGGTGGATGATGGGGGCAGTGAATAATAATAAAACTTTTTTTGAATTTTTTAATTTTTTATTCTTGTTTTTTAAAAAATTGTTCAGATGTATTTAATAAAAATAATATTAACCTATTTAAAATGTATGAAGTGGTACATTTTGACAAATGTGTTTAGTTGTACAT